GGAGAGGGAGAGGGGGAGGGGGAGGGGGAGGGGGAGAGGGACCACCGTGCTCACTGCCCAAGGCACTCGGGACATTGCCTTCTGACGGCTGAGTTGGTCAAGTCAAAGCCCAAGCCAACCTCACAAATCTAATTGTTGTTTCGGTCTGTGAACTCAGGCTTCGGGGCTTCAAAACTCTACTCTCAGAGACCAACCAGAGCAGCTATTCTTCAATTCTAATGAGGGCTTCCTGCCGGGCACTACCCGCTCTATAGTGCCGTAAAACACCTATCAACACAAAAACCCTGCTCAATCTGGTGCATCACAGTGAATGAAGCAGGAGATGCCTGTAACACTGCTACCAAAGAGCCTCTGCAAGGAACTGGTCTGGATGGGCATGGAGCTGTCTGGACAGGTCCTCACGGCTTCGATCCCCTCGCAGCGACCGCAGCTCCTCCCGACAAAGGTTTGTTGATGTGGGGCTGCTTTAGGAAACGAGGCACTTGTTGGTTTGGATGATGAGTGAGGATCGTAAAGCTTCCCGCTGGGTGAAGAAACTGCATTAAGGCCTGTGAGATAAGGGGCAGGACTTCTTTTTGTGGTGTGGATTTGGGCTTTGAAGAACTCAGAGACAGCAGTTTCCAAAGAACCCGAGCTGCTCAGTCGGCTGCCCTGTAGGCTTAGGTCGATGAGGCTTTGGCAGGATGAAGACTTTGCAAGTTTTGAAGCTCACCTGCCAAATTATAGGAAAACATTATGTCACTGCTGATAAACCAAAGAATTCCTAATCGCCGGATTCCCCGTTCAAACTGCCTGACAAACCGGAACCGTAATCCCAATTCGGAACGATCCCATGTCTAGCCGCAACATCGCCTCGTTCCTATAACGTAATGCGGAAGTGTGCAAAGCCCACAAGACAACGGTCTGGATGTCTTCGATCTAGACCGCAGCAATAGCAAGTGCACCAAAAGAGCCCTGCATCTGGAGACGACGCCGACCATTACATCAGGGCGGCAGTAACAATGTGTTCTTCTACTAGCTCTTCCTCAACAGGAAAACGCACGAGCTTAGCACATGAACATGTAGCAACGTAGAACTCTGAAAACATCACCTGATTTCAAGTCTTGGGCTTGGAGCTCGACTTTCGCACTTCGCAGATCCCGCGGAGTGATTGACGAGACTGACCGTAGGAGTGGGGCAGACGGGAATCCCCAGCAGCTCTCTCGCCGAAGTATCACTGAAGCCGGGCACAGAGAGCTCCAAGGAAGCCAGGACAGCTTGGTTGGAGGCAGCTCGTGAGACTAGCACGAGTGTGCTTCATGCTTAGGCAAGTTCTGGCCAGTAGTCAGTTCAACAAACCGAACTAGGAGAAGCATCTTCTCCTTAGATCAACTGCTAAGGTCTTTAATGGCAGCTGGTACAATCGAGCATAAAACTGCCGTTAAGCTGACTTGAATACCTAATAAGACGGAGCCCCCCAAACCTAAACCTCTTTCAATTTGGGGTTTTTGCTTGACACTGAGCCATCGCATGCGTCCTCCAGTGTGAATCGTGCCCTAGCAGCTTGAAGAGCCGCGAGGACGTCGACACTCTGTGGCGCCCGTACTGCGTTCGCAAAAGCAATGCACCACTGCAGCGCCTGGGGGAGAGGAGTTGAACTCGACCAGGCTTTTGGTTTGTTGGCACGACAGGCAGCGGTGAAAGGCCGAACCGACCGTTCCGGAAGCTACTAGACCCCTTTGAACGCTCCGGTTAGGGCGAAGGCGAAGAAGTCACGACCAAAAGCGGTAACACCAGTGAACGCACAGGATAATGGGAAGCAATCGACTGCCCGAACA